TTTTTAGGTCGAAGGGCATGACCCGGTAACAGTAGAGTCATTGTTCTGTTATGAAAGACGTCTTCTCCTGGTCAGGCTCGTACATTCGTAACTGATTGTATCCAGAATAAGCGTCCATGAAACTTAGCATTTCGTGACCGGCCGTGACGTCCACCAATTGGTCTATTCGTGGTAAAGGAAAACTATCATTTGGGCAGGCTTTGCTGAGATCCATTCGCCATTTCCCATTAGGTTTCTTTACCATGACCACGTTGGACAGCCACTGTGGATAATCCACTTCACGTATAAAGCCTGCTCTAAGGAGTTCCGATACTTCCGCGGAGATAGCTTGATTTCGCTCAGTATGGAACAGTCTTCGCTTTTGGATCACAGATTTGGCATCTGGATTCACATTGAGTCGGTGAACTATCACCTGGGGATCAATTCCTGGCATGTCGCCATGTGACCAAGCAAATACATCAGCGTTATGTCTAAAAAATGCTATTAATTTCTCTTTGGGTTTTGATCCCATTTGTGTACCAATCCTAACTCGTTGTTCTTCGGAAAGTAGGGGTACAGTTTCAATTGCCTCTGCTGGCTCTCCATGAGTGTTGTTGGGACTCTTTGGCTGACCTGGCAATGTATCCTTATCTCGATTGAGTGGGGCAAGTGTTGAGATATCAGAAAGTTTTCTTTCTTTTTCAGCTTTGACGCTTGATTTTAGTGGTTTGAGGTTTGGTATGACGGGCTCGGGGCGTAGGGCCATATAGTAACATTCACTAGCAATACGTTGCTCTCCTCGCACGTTCCCTATTCCCCATGGGGTTGGAAATTTCATAACTTGATGTAAAGTGGAAGGTACAGCCCCCAAACTATGTATAGTGGGTCGTCTTAGGATAGCATTATATACTGAATCTAAATCGACGACCAAAAAGCACACTAACCTGTTAAGGATGCACGAACTTTCTCCAAATGAGATAGGTAATTCGATGCTTCCCATTGGGTGAACTCACTCCCCACCAAATCCCACAAGAGGAGTGTTGCACGCTTTCAATCTTTCTCGGTCGATTCTTATAGCATCAAATGTTCGTAATGCTAGGACATCAGCTGAGCTACGTCCGTCCACCAGTATACGATGTACTTGGATACTGGCGATGGGAAGCGCGATTACTAGTGCATCGTTGTGCGGTTGGTGTAGACTTTGTTCATCGGAACGGTTAAAGCATATGGTGAATTTAGAAGGCCTTGATGTGGATGTGCAGACGATGTGGTCATAAGGCTCACGTCGTGCCTGTCTGACACGAGCTTTTCTCTTTCTACTAGATTCTCCCTCAACTGGTCCGTCAAATATCGTCCGGATCTCACGCGGATCGGGCTGTCTGTTTGCTAGCAGTCCATCATGCGGAGGAGGGTGATTATCTCTTCCTCTTCTATCTACGAACTCTTAAAGATACCCCTGCTGTATTAGGGTCTCGATTTCTTCTTTCAAGCGAACATATTTCGCAGTGTTTTGTCCAGCTTCTTTATGGAATAAACAGTAGCGGCTTTGATCTCGAGGAAAATTTTCCTATTGTCTTTTAGCAGGCCACCTGAGGAGATTCTTATCCTTGATTTCCATCAAGATATGCTCTACTGGTACAGTTGTGGTATATCTTCGAATGTTTTTCGGGAACTGTCGATCTTTAGGATGGTAATCAGCTTTTGCTTTTTTTTGAGGATTTTGACTAAAGGTCTGTCTTTCCTTTTTTGAATCAGGGCTTCAGGTAGTATTTCCCGGATTCTCTCGAGCATTGAGTAGTTCTCCAACATGCATATGTTTTTGAGCTCGAGCGATAAAATCATCGAAGGTAGTTGAAGTTTTCTTACCTAATGACCAAAGAAACTTCTCATCTCGTAGCCCAGCCATAATAGCAGTCAAGGCAGTTCCGTCAATGCCTCCTTCAATTTTGAGGGCTTCGTTATTAAAGCGGACGATATATTCGCGTAGGCTTTCGTTCGCTTTTTGTCGAAGCGTCAGTAAGTAGGTAGCTGGCCTCTTCTGCTCACGTCTCCCTACAAACTGTGTCAGAAAAGCACGAGTTAACTCCTGAAATGAAGTTATCGACTGCCTTTTAAGTTATCGATACTAAGTACTGGCTGGACCGGTAAGAGTTAATGAAAATGTCCTGCATTTTATCTCGTCACGAGCCCCTTGAAGATCCATCCAGGCACTAAAAGTGTCAATATGGTCCAATGGATCTTTGGTTCCATCATATTGCTTCATGGTTGGCCATTTAACTTTGACGGTATTGCTACTGCCATGACATTGTCTGCGAATAGGGTGCCCGACCCATCACACGGTTCTTCTTCGTTTCGTACCTTATTGGGGTAGCCATTATGATTACTCAATGTGGAGTCTGGACGTTCCTCAGTAGGTATTTGGCGGCGATGGTTGAGGAGATCGTGCAAATCCAATTGTCCTCGACTTTCATGTTCTTTTCTTCAGTTATCCAGGAACTCCCCCAGGTCACTGGTATCCAATCCTTCTAAATCCGTTCGTGACCATGTCTGGTGGTATCATCATTTGTTTGGAATGCGAGCCTTGGGGGAATTGACACTATTGGGGGGATTCCTGGGTCGGTTGTTTCCTCCCAGGGTCAATTTCTCCTAAGGATTTGGAAGCGAGCTTGTTCGGGACTCGTCTTCTCCTTCGATGGGAGTCTTTCCTTTGATTGGATCTCGAACGGGTGGTCCTTGAGAGGGGGAACTGGCGCACATTCCTGGGTGTCTTTTTGTTTCAACAGATCTAGAATTTGGGCCATATCTCCCTTCAGTCCCTACACATCTCGATTAATTTGGATCTACTTACTTCGACGTTGCTGAGGCACTTCGGTATCGTTTACGAGCTGGGTAGTCACCGTAATGTTCTCTTGTGCCCTCCTGACAGCTTGAATCGGAAGTCAGAAAGTTGGTCGGGATGCTACATGCTTCGAGCTATGATGTTCCATTTGCTTGGAATCCCTAGTTTCCTCCGGAATAGTTTGGGCATCGTTTGGGTCCATGATTAGATAATTCGTTTTTCGGAGTTTTGGACAGTCGTTCCCACAGACGGCGCCAACTGTTGATGCAATTTTTGGGAACTCAGGCCAGGTCGAGCAAATCAAGTAACCTGAGGAATCGACCGTCGAACTTTTGGATAAGGATTTGATTCGAAAAACTTGGAGGAGCTTGGATCTGCAATAAGAGAGAAAATAAGAAAACACCGGTGTGGTGTCGGTCGACCACACTCCGATGCTTAAGTCATTTGATGAGCTTTAAGCGTGGAAAAGAGGAAATGAGCAAGTCTCGAGTGAATTGCTTGAAAGAGAATGACATACCTCCCTTCTATTTATAAGTTTTGATGGCGGTGTGAACAGGTGTTGAAAAATCAAAGAGGTTTTTATCAAAGTCAACTGCAGCTCTATAATTGGCTCTATAATGAGACCAATAGATGTGCAAAGAAAGTCGGTGGGCATTTTGCATCAAATATTCAGGCTATGGTGGCGGCTTTGTTGGCGGTGGTCAAAGCAAGTGGTTGAAAAAGGGGGTGCGGCCTAATAGGCCGCACAAAATCGAGGCCTACTGCCACGAGGCGGTGGCTCCACTCAACTTTCCCGTGTTTTATTGTGTGGCTAGGAGGGGGTGCCGCACAATGCATGGTAATGTCATGCATTGTGCCATGTATTGTGCATCCCATTGTGCATTTGACTGATTTTTTCTTTAATGGGTTGGGTTCTCTTGGGCCCAATTCCTTTCTCACTTTACGGGCTGCCAAATCTCTTTTAATTCCTCCAACAATAGTATTAATTTTTACCCACTTTTTTTCAAAATCATGTTTTCTAATTTTTGACTGACATCACCTAGATACCAACTACTAATATTTTAGATTTTCCTCTCTTATTTCCTGTCTCTATGCCCCCTCTCCCTCTTTTTTCAGATTTTCTTTTCTTTCTCCATATTTTCCATTGACATATTTTTTCCGGTTTTTCTCTTCTTTGTTTTCTTCTATTTTTTTCCTTCTTCTCTCTCTTTAGCAACCTAAAAAACCTAACTTTTAAACTTGAAAAATCAATTACGAATCGAAAAAAATTAAATTAATTATGAAAAAAATATATTAAAAAAAGTTGAAATTACATATAAAATATAAAATATTTAATCGTTTAATATGAAAAATCAAATTTACATAATTACATCACAAGTTTTATCCGATTTAATTGACAAAAAGAGAGTCAAGAGAAGAGGAACAAGGAAAAAAAACTTGCGTGGATCTCGGCCCGGGATTGCATACCCGTACCAAGATGGTATTAAAAAAATACTATCCCGGGATTATTCTGTCTCGACTGCAATCCCGACCTGGGATATAGACTTTCGAGCTTTTTTCTTCTTCTTCTCTCATTTCTTACTCATTCTTCATAAAATTAAAATCTGTCTTCCATCTTAAAAAATTAGAGATGATTTTGGGAAGCTGTTGAGAATTTGGTGGATATGTTCAATATGTTGTTTTTTTATGGGTAATGGAATAACAATTTTCTTTCTTCTTCCATTAAAAAATCTGAACATCTTAAGAAATTTCTTCAGAAGTGAAAGATGGGAGACAAAAGGGGAGAGAAAGGAAAGAATTAAAAAATAATTTAATTTATGTTGATTCTGTTTAATTATGGGAAGATTTTTTTGGATTCGGTGGTTGGTTCTCAATTGGTAATTGATTCTTAGATTAAAACGTTAATTTTTTTCTTATCAGATTCAAAATAGGGATATTTTGATAATTTTATAAAGACAAAAATGAAAAAGAGTCACAATAAAAGGGATCACAAGTTAAGGTTTTTCAATAGTGGATCATAAATCCCAATTTTCTTGTTAGTATTTATAAAAAGGGCTATTCATAAAAAAAAAAAACCATATATATTTGGTATAGTGTAACCTTAATTTTGTAATTATTTTGAATATTAGACTTTTTAAAACTTTACAAAATCTAGGTTATCTATATATATATACAAGTTGGAACGAAGAACCCCCCATCGCCGATACGCCGAGGAAAAGAGAGAGCCAAGAAAATGCAGATCTTCGTGAAAACCCTAACGGGGAAGACCATTACGCTGGAAGTTGAGTCCAGCGACACCATTGACAATGTGAAGGCCAAGATCCAGGATAAGGAGGGTATGTTTATGTTATTCATTTGCTTTAGGATTTTTCATTCTCTAGCCAAGTATCGTTTCAGATATTGATGCCGTTTGTTTTTTCGATTTATGTTGTAAACTCTCCAGGTATTCCCCCCGACCAGCAGAGGCTGATCTTTGCCGGAAAGCAGCTCGAGGATGGCCGCACTCTCGCCGACTACAACATTCAGAAAGGTAGCTTTTAGTTTAAATTTGACGTACGATGTGAAATAGGCGAGGAAACTTTAGCTTAATTGCTGTTATAGATCCATCCGATGGTGGCTTCATTTGTTTTCCGATTCCCTTAATTTTTGGATGTCACTGGCATACGAGTCGTAGCAACGATCTTTTATGAGTTAGTCTACAAATTTAGAAACGTTAACTAGACATTCTGTACTGATTGTTTTAATTAGCGGTTGAACCTGGCTACGAACTGGTTTGTAGCTTGTTGGCTTGATAGGGACCTAAATATTCTCGCATGTCATAAGTTCAAAGCATGGTGGTAGTGATTTGTTTGGTTTCAAACTAATTAGTGATCGAACTGGCTAATTACTCCTTACTTGGGGGTGGGGCGTCGTAGATTGAAAGGAACTCTGAAACAGTAAAATCAATGAGTCGATGCTTGTTTCTTGTTGTGATGTTTCTGAATTCATCAATGAGGCATGGTCGTGTTGTTTGGTTTGGTTTGGTTTCAAACTAATTAGTGATTGAACTTGGCTAATTACTCCTTACTTGGGGTGGGGCGTCTTAGATTGAAAGGAACTATGGAACATTGTAGTCGATGAGTCAATGGTTGTTTCTAGTTGCAATGTTTTTGTATTCATCAGAAAACTATGAGCAGCGGGTTGAATTAGTGCATGATATTATTTTTTATTTCTTATTACGAAAAGAATGGCATTCTTTAAGACTGGATATATTGCCGTAGTTTCTTAAACCTACGAAATAATATTTGTAGGTACATTTGATTTATCATTATAGTTATTTGATGTTTGCTTAGAAATTTCTTTCGAAGTATAATTGCTTTTAGAGACTACTTTCTGTGTAATCAAAGAGATGTAGTGTTAAGGGGGATTTCCTGGAAACATGTGGTTTAGGAACTACGAATCCATATAACTACTCCGTGCATGAACAATAGTTTCATTTGCTTTCTCATTATTAAATTAAATTTATGATTTTTTGGTTGGATGTTCAGAATCAACACTACATCTGGTTCTGAGGCTTCGTGGTGGGATTATTGAGCCTTCTTTGATGGCATTGGCCAGGAAATATAACCAGGACAAGATGATCTGTCGCAAGTAAGTTATTTGTTGTTTTTGGTAGGGCTGGTAGATGAACTGAAATAACTGAAACAACTGACTAACTGAACCATGTTGATCCAAAGATTCCGAACTGACTGTTATTCAGTTTTATACTTTTTCTTTATGTGGTTTGGTTTGAACAATTACAAGAATCATTGGTTTGTTTCAGTTTTTAGTTTGCCTTTTGAGGAAACTAAGAAATCAATCCAAGCCATGTGATTTTATCACACAATTAGAAAATATTGAACCTAAAAAGCTATAACCAATACGATATTCAGTTCAAAATCAGTTTAATAGCTCGGTTCGTGAAAAATAATGTTAACTAATTCAGTTTTAGATTTGGACAAGAAACTTGACCAAGCCGAATCAATGAACACTCTCGATTAGACGTATCATAATTTGGTGAAATTTTGTTTATTTTACATTGCTTTTCATCGCTAACACACTATTTTATGGGCGTGACATGGCTTGTAAAAACTTTTCTTCTAGAACATGGAATGTGTTTAAAGTTTTTTCTTCTTTTTCGGGTCACAGATGTTATGCACGCCTACATCCCCGTGCTGTCAACTGCCGGAAAAAGAAATGTGGACACAGTAATCAGGTAAAGGGTATTATATTAATTAGTCGATTGTTTTCATTCTTTGGTAAAATCGTGTGCATAATGTGCCAGCAAATGTTTTGATTTATTTGGGTTCACTGTTGGACTGAATGCAACTCGTTAAAATTGCAGCTGAGGCCAAAGAAGAAGATCAAGTAGACTGCTGATCCAGAGAAGGGAACGTTATGGAACCTGATATGTCACTCAATTCGCTCGCTGGCCTCTTATGGTTCATTAGGATTATGTGCTCATCGGTTTAAGGACTCAATTTTTGTAGTTTGACTTTGAAAGATTTAAGTTTGGTTCCGCTTATCACAATTTTTGGTTGCTTTACAATGGTTTTGACTCTATTTGAATCTATTTTAGTGATGAAATGAGTGTTCATTATTCTCTCATAATTTCTCACATCATTTTAATTCTACAGCCCGCCCTTGTTAGCTACATTCACCTCACCACCTTCTCCCTGGGCCTGGGCGTTTCTCCCTTTGTGCAGCCAGCCAAGTTTACCTGATTTTCAATGAAGGGTCAAAATTGAAAGAATTCATGTTTATAAATGTAAGAGAGAACGAAGTAACTTAAACAATCACCTAGTCTGGAAAATATTCTGTATCATCCTCTGTGGGGACTCTCGAGCTCCATCTTCCAACAGGTTCAGTTCCTCCTGGGTAAGGCGCCAGCCAAGAGCACCCAAATTTTCTTGAGATTGCTTCAATGTCTTAGCTCCAGGTATGGGAATCGTTCCCTTGGAAATGCACCAGTTTATAGCAACCTGTCACCAACTCGAATCATGTAAAACCGATTATTGTGTGATGTACAAGGTCAAGGTCGTAAGTTCCAGTTTTGCCCCCCAATACCCATTTTCTAAGTAAAATCTTGGCGATAAGGATTTCAAGGGTAGACAGCCAATAATTTTGAAAAACATGAAAAGTGAGGAAAGAAGTTGAAAGTGAAGCATTCAGCATCGGAACCAGAGTGTCCGAAGGATGCAAATCACAGATCATCCCTCGTGAATAATGCCATTGAAGAGAGGTAATTTAATTACTTGTGGGATCGTTTTGCGCCTTCTCTCTGCAATGTCTGTAAGTGTAGTCAGTAAAGGTTCTAAGCCTGGGAGAATCTGCCTGAACAGCAAACCCCTGAAAATGGCAACATGAAATAGAATAGCATGAGATTCAGAAAGAACTAATGTCATCAGATTCTTGTTTAGAAGTTACCGAGGTCCAGATGGAAGCTTGGAAGGTGAGTATTTTCCTGTAAGCATTCCAAGTCCTAAAGGACTGTAAGCAATTAAGCGAATGCCCAAAGAATCACAAATCTTCTTCATCTCCAACTGCTCATCTCCTATGCTTAGTAAAGAAAATTGCACCTAAAATGGACCATTTAGTAGGGACGAAAGCCAACCGCCATCCCAACCAGTCATTTAACCATCATCATTCTCATACAATAAATTTTGTAGTGTGAATTAGACATCTACTCCATTTTATGTTACGGAATCATGGACAACTATGTCCATCAAACCCATAACACAAATGAATCAATAATTCATCTTACAACATTTGAAAACTCGTAAAACTATCTTAGGTTGGCCTACTTATCACTAGAGCAATGGTAAGAAGGAACGAATTCAAATTCATGGTGACCACCTATTTAGAATATTAAAATCCTACAAATTTCTTCCCAACTTAATGTTGTAGGATTCTATGATTGTCTCAGCTACGTGGGCTTGCCCAAATACTCATTGAGATATAAAATAATAAAAATAAAAATAATATAGATTACTACATCTACCTTGGTCTAAATTCATATCCTTGTTTAGATTTAAAACATTATACCAGTGCATGGAGGTTGATAAACACGTTCTTTCGTACTATGATCTTAGTTGAACAAGATCTGTTCTATAGGTTGTACAATACAACTCCGTCCTCGAGTTCTAAGCCAACCATGTTCTTACTAAAGACCTGAGTAGAGCACAAGAGGAGACATGTTCTTGCTAAATACCTGAGCAGAGCATAAGGGGACTCCTCGGTCTTTTAGGTAGTCATATATCTTTACAAGTTGCTTTGGTCCGTAGTTGCTCACTCCAACTGCTTGAACTAAGCCCTATAATTCACCAAATTTGTGAGTATTGTATAGCCTCAAGAGCAAACATATATTTCATGGGAATCCGAATGCAAGCTTAATAAAGAGAAGTAAATATGAGAAAGTTGAAGCATTTGAGCAAAAATTATGGTAACCTTATCATACATTGCCACTAGTCCATCCCAAAGAGCCATCTCCTGAAAAGGAGCATAGTTTGCTGTTGACCAATGTAATTGTCCTATACCAATTTGCTCAATCTGCATTCGATCCAAAGACGCCCTAAATAAAGCTAATTGTCATCTAAATGTATTGTTGTAGTAACTCCACAAACTAATTAAGGAGAATATATTGATAAATTGATATGTATATAAGAGAAGAGAGAAATTTGATTGGAATTAGATGCAAACCGTACTTGCAAGCTTTGACGAATTGGGCAGGTGTTAGGCGCCATGGATACGCTGCAAACTTGGTGGCTATCACGATGTCATTTTTCCCTGGAGAAGAAGGCATTAGCGACATCTTGTTCCTTGAGAATGTTCAATTTCAACAGGCCACGAAGAGAGGAAGAAAAATTGGTATGAATTAGAGAGCAAAGCGGACCTTGAGATTCTCGGATAAATTTTCCAAGTAGCTTTTCGCTTTGGCCGTTCAATCTTCCAGTACCGTAGGAATCCGCGGTGTCGAAGAGGTTGATTCCATTGTCGATTGCGAGATTGAAGATTTGCTGAAGCTCGGCGTCCATGGCTTCCTGGTAGCCCCATAAGATCTGGTTCCCCCACGCCCACGTTCCAATTCCCATAGGGGATACACTCAGAGGACCCATCTTCACCTGTAATTGAAGGCAGGGTGGGTATTGTGTTTTCATTCAATTTGAATAAAATAGAAAGGGGACATTGAGAGAAAACCTTCTGCCATGGCCAAACCAGAGGAAGCTTCAGTGGCTTGAAAGCCGCAGGAGAAGAAGAAAGAGAAGTGTTGTTTACAGCGGCGAAGCACAAGGACGGACTGAATCTGAATGTTGAGGAAGCCATTGCTGCCACAAGAAAGGAGTTGAAGAAAAAAAGTTGAACAGATTTGATTGGGCTATGTGGTGGAGCATTCCAGTCATAGAACAATCAACCATGAGCAATGGTAACGATAGCGTAATAGCGGTAAGGATAGTAATATAATAACAAGGATAGCCTAACAATGATAACGATAGCAATAGTTCGATCATCTCTTTTAGTTATAATGATAACGTTAATAATAATAGAGAATAATAATAACGATAATAATAGTTAGAGTTTATATTAACAACATAATTTCTAATTTAATCTCAACAATTTCAAATTCGTTAGCAGCAGTGATAACAATAATGGTAGTAATAACGTAATAGCAGTAACGATAGTAATATAATAGTAAGGATAGCGTAATAACGGTAGTAATAGTGATAGTTTATAACTTTCCAGTTTTTTAATTGATTCTTTATTTTTCTCTTTCAATTTTTTTAAATTTGATTATTTTTTTTCAATTATATCTTTATATTTACATTTATCTGTACCGCTACCTGTATCTATACGTGTATTTATACATCTACATCTACTTATGTCTATATCTTATTTTTTCTCTTTCAATTTTTTTCCAATTCAAGGTAGGGAGTAGAGATATGGGTGAAGGTAGAGGCGGAGATATGAGAAAAAAATAATTAAGAAAATGTGAGAGATAAGCGAAAAATGAGTATTTCGAATTGGAAAAAAAATTAAAATTTTATTTTAAGACCAAAGAAAAAAAATTAAAATGAACAAATAGAAATGAAATTAAATTAACCGCACAAAAATTATGTTATTACTTGAAAAAATACGAGAGATTTGAATTAAAAATAATTGAACTCAATAGGAAAAAAAAAAGAAAGAAATAATTAATTAATAAATAAAAATGGAATTCACCTAACAAAAATAACTAAAAAAATTTGAAAGAAAAAAATTTAGAGAACTAAAAAATTAACTCAATATAAAACAAAAAGTAAAAAAATAACGAAGAAATAGTTAAGAGAGAAGGACAATCACAGGCAAAAAATTATAATAACAGTTTTTCAAGAAATAGGCATGTCTCACTGACGAGGTGTGGTGTCGTCTAGCTCAATCTCCTCTAAATTTTTGCCTGCTATTTATTTATATTAAATTTGAATTCGCCTTTTTTTTTTCTTCTCAGGTTTTCGGGTTAAACTCCGCCCGAACCGAGTCTATGCGGGTTTCCGGGTCAGTTCTTTACACCCATAGCGGCCCGCCCGGCTGTGACTGAAAAGTCAAAAAGCCCATTTCCTCACTTGTTCTGCTCTCTGCTATATTATGGCTTCCTCTTCTCTCTCACTTCCAGCCACCCTTCGTACACTCTCCTCCACTCTGCGAACCCCTCCTAAGATTTCTTTCCCGCTTCACTCTCTGCCGGTTTCATCGAAGCCCCGCGATTTCTCCCTCGCCTTCACTCAGATTTTTTCTGGGGTTTCCGAGTTACAGCCCAAGAAGCGGCTCGGTATAAGAGCTATTGCGTCGGCTACTGATATGGCATCGGAGAAGAGGGTCTTCGATTCAGGGGAAGATCTAGCAGTTTCTGTAGCCGAATACACCGCTGCTTTGTCGGATCAGTTTGCTAAGAAGAGGGGTGCTTTCACTGTGGTTCTGTCTGGTGGATCTCTTATCAAATGCCTCAGGTTTGCTTTTCCTTTACCCGCCTTTTCTAATTCTACTTGCTTTTCTACTCTTCATGCAATTTCTTGATGACTAGACTTGGATTGTGAAATATGGGCGTAGCAACTTCAGCTTCAATTTCAGGACTGTCTTTTAGGTCATTAAAGAATTGGGTATGACATAGGAAGGCAACTTAAGAGTGCACTCGTTGTTGTAGAAATGGGATTAAAATATGTGGCTTCTTTTGTTTTCTGATAGCCTAGAAACATGCATGTATGGGAAAACCAGTTACTTGGGTTTCAGGGTTGATGCTTTGATAATGTGAAATGGTTGATACTTCAAATTTCAGAAAATTGGTGGAGCCACCATATGTTGATTCAATAGACTGGTCCAAATGGCATGTGTTTTGGGTTGATGAGAGAGTTGTTCCCAAGGATCACGCTGACAGCAACTACAAGCTCGCTTATGATGGTTTTCTCTCTAAGGTTATACTTATTCTATAGTCTTTGTGAAATGGTCGCATGGCATTTAATTCATGTTTTTGACAGTTCATTTATGCCTTTCATATAAAATTATGAGATTGTGCGAGAACTGTTCTAGAGAACGGCTTTTATGCTTATTTTCTGTTAGTTTGTTCTAATGCATGGGCTATTGTTAGAACAATTGGCTTTCTTCTCTCACTCAACATCATAGGCTTGTGAATGGTGGTTAATTTTGAAAACAGCTCCTATATAGTTGTGGAACTACTTATATAGGAATTTGGAATGGGGGAGTTTGTATAGAGTTGGAGGGAGCACATGGATGTATTATGATTACCTCTGAAAAAATCTGGGCCATGTTTGATCAAACTATTTTGTTTTTAGTTTTATGTTTTTAACTCACAATTTCTTTGATGTGCTTTCACCATCCTTACATACAAATTTGAAATCTTAGTTAAATTTTAAAAACAAAAATAATTTTATAAAAAATAATTCTTTTAGTTTCAAAATTTGACTTCAATTTTAAAATTTTTTTTGAACGGTAGATTACAGACCAAAGAGATACATAGTTAGAAGCAGTGTTTTTGATAGAACCCAAATCACTAACACAAACAACTAGAATATATTGAAAAGATAGAAGAACTACAATAACTACCCAGTAATTCAATGTTCTTGGACCTTTCCCTCTCTTGAGTATTCTTACTCAAGCCTATATCATACTAAATAATTGTCTGCCTCAATCCTTTCTCACTCACTGTATTTGTAACAGATCCCCGTACCAACTTCCCTAACCAATTACTAATATACCCTTAATACCTTAATAATATTCCTAATTCTATCCTAATAGTAATAGCATTCCTTTCATGTCTATAAGCTTAATTTTTTAAAACAGAAAACCACTCATATGGAGCGTTAATTACGGATTACTAATCTGAATTAGTTTATGCTGGGAAGAAGGTTCGAACGAATTCTCTACTTCAAATTATTTGTTTCCCAAACCATTTTCTTAGGTTATGCAAGTTATTTTAGCTGTACAGTGCTGGTTGACAGCCTCATATTTATATCATATCACACGACTGTGTATTGCAGTCTAATTCTATCATAATTCAGTGGAAGGTTATTTTTCCATTTCTGCACAATTAAACATAGGTTACTATGAGGGTTATCTCAATGGTCTAATAGACAATCTGTTATTCCAAGTCTTTTTAATCTTAGGTACTAATCATGGTGACTACTTTTCTAAGATATTAAAAATCTTACTAGTAAGAAGTTCAATGTCAAATATTATGGTGATTGTCTTCTGGATTAGTCAACGTGCAGAAGTGGACTTTGACGCCCATAGTTATTTAAAAACACAACCTACCTAGGGTAATCAATTCTTGCTAAGATGCCCACTTTTGAATTATTCATTCATGCGTCATTTTTTTGTAGGTGCCAATTCTTCCTGGTCACGTTTATGCTATTAATGATGCATTATCAGCTGAGGGTGCAGCTGAAGATTATGAAACCTGTCTGAAGCATTTGGTGACTACCAAAGTGGTTGATGTCTCTGCAGCAAGCGGGTTCCCAAAATTTGATCTTATGCTTCTTGGTATGGGCCCAGATGGTCATGTGGCTTCTTTATTCCCAGGTCATCCCCTTCTCAACGAGAATCAGAAATGGGTTGCCTTCATCAAGGATTCCCCAAAACCGCCCCCAGAGAGAATCACTTTCACCTATCCGGTTATCAACTCATCAGAATACATTGCACTTGTGGTTCCCGGTGCTAGCAAAGTGGATGCTGTGTATACAGCATTAGGAGGAGGAAATCCTCAAAATGCTGAAACATTACCTGTTCAGAGGGTCGCTCCTGAAGGTGTTTTGACGTGGTTCTTGGACAAGGATGCAGCTTCGAAGCTGTAGTGTAAACGAGATATGTCAATCAGACGTAGCATCCATGGTGTGTTAGGCTTATGGTATGCATTTGAATAAGAGAATCTGTATGTTCACATCTGGGTTGGAGTGAATAAATGTAGTTTGAAGTTTGTTGGGAGTTTTCCGACCCATTCCTTTTGGTTAACGCAAATATTTAGTGCTAAAAATGGTATTGTTGGAGTAGTGGGAAACTTGAAAAGGGAAGAATTCTACAATTGACATAATAATTGAAGAAGACAGTGGGCAGTGGTCTGATCGATGCTTTTTTGCTTTAGGAAGGAAGATGGCTTTGATTTACAAGACAGAGCGAAAGCCAAAGTATGTTGTGTTGTCACTATCTGTGTGGAATATAGAGCAGCCAAGTTCGGTCCTAAATTATTCTCCAAAATCTCTTTTGGCCATTAATTTTGCAAAAGCTTCCATCTACATGTCCCTACAAAAACATCTCATCTTCTAACATTTGTGCTTTGGAATTGAACCCATTTTCCATGTTTCTTTTTCCTTTTTCTTTTCATCATGTAACTTAACAAGCCATTAAATTTAAATCTGTCATCGTCGAAGCAACATTGGATTGGATTGGATTGGTTCAACGTTTTTATTGTATGTAAGATAATACTTTTACGATACTAAAATAAATTAAATAAAAAGACTGAAATTTGATTCCGATATCTTATGGTTTCAATGAACAGGCATTGGCAAGAATCATGTTTGATGATAGGCTTCTTCTATGAGTTTACTTTTTGCATAAAAAGGGGACACCTTTTTCTTTTCTATTCTTTCTTTTCCATCTTTTTAAATCAAAGCGCCTTACTTTGTTGACTCTTTTTTCTTTTTTCAATAATTAAAAAGAAAATGTATTTGTGATTCCAATTCCCTTCCCACAAGCCAAGCCAAAGCCAATCTCTGTTATTGCAAATTTCTCCATTCAATCTTCTCCCCTTTTCTAAATCTTATATTATACTTATTATTATTACTTCAATTTTTCTTATGGAGGCCATTTGACTTAATGTTGGGGATGTATTTAAGTTATGTTATGGCAAAACGAGCATAAATCAGAGGTAATTGATATATGTCTCTAATCAAGAGGTTATGAGTTTGATGATCCCCACCCCGTACTCAAAAGTTGTGTTCTTGAATCAAGATTAAGATGTCATTAAAATCTCTCAGATCATTATCCATTTAGAAGCTTGATTTTCAAGGAACTGCTCAAATGTACTTTAATCATGTCTTTTTTTATTATTTTTTTATATATTTGGAAATTAGTTACAAAAGCATAATAATTAAAAGTTGGTCAAGGGTAAAAAACCAAAAATAATTATAAAGAAAAAAAAAACTCTTCTTTTTAACTTTATGGATTAAAATTCTAAAACTTTCCTGGAAGAAACGATGAACATAATAACCAACCATCTAAATCTTCAACACTATTATTATTACTGCTGCAGATTGGAAAAACTGTTTCTTGTATGTTATAAACTACGTCGTTTAGCGAGTCAGAACTCAGAACTCACATCACAATCCAGGAAATTTGTAATTTAAAAAATTAATATTATTATTGGATTTGAAAAAAAATATATTAATTTGGGTCCCATTCCCACTCCCATTCCCATTCCCATTCCCATTCCCAGGTAGTTTCATAGAGTCTTCTGCTCTCTCTCTCTCTTGCTCGCAATCGCAGGTCAGTGGAGGGAGAGAGAAAGAGAGAGAGGCCGAAGGAATCAAAGCAGTTGCAGTTGCAGTTGGAGTTGCAGTTGGCTTTCTGTTGGTTGGGAGTAAACAAACCCTAAGGGAAGAAGGGAACGGAAGTTGGGATTCTACTTTTCTTCATGTTCATGTTCTTGTTCTTGTTCATCTTTATCTCCGACGCCGTCGCCGTCGCTCCCCGCGGCGGTTCTGGATTCCGGGGAATGCCTTCGCCTGCTCCCATCGCTGTTGCACCCTTGCTGGGCCTCTTCCTGCTTCTGCTCCCTTTCAACTCATCTACTACTTCATTAAACCCATGACAGCCTTTCATCACCCAAATCCAAACCCTAGTTACCCACAAAAAGGATTTTGCAAATATACCCTCATTCCACTATCTACCATACTCAATGAAAGCCCTCCGCAGGACACAAACTTCCTCCTCCTCCAATTCCAATTCCAACTCCAATTCTTCTTCTCCTTCCTCCTCCTGGGTTCATTTGCGTTCTGTTTTAGTTGTTGTCAGCAACTCCTCCCCATCTTCATGTTCTTCCTCTGATCGGTGAGTAACTGTTTTATCAACCCATTTATTGGGGTTCGGCTTTTAGTTCACCATTTAGATCTCCATCTTAAACTGTCTGTCTCCTGCTTTTGTTGGTCTATTTGGTGTCTCTTACTGATACTTCCCTGTCTTGCTTCTATTTTCAACTTTTTCTACCTGTTCCTTGATTGTTTAATTTAATGGTTGTGAGTACTGTACAGCTTTTTTAACATTAGTTTTGAGCTGGGTTCTGGCTAATTATAGCTTCTTGTTACAAAACTGTTTTCGAGGGTCTTCATCAGGTAGAAATCTGGCTGATTATTTGGATACGTTTGTACTGCATTTGTATGAATCAAGTCGATTACGTTTTTATTCCAGAAACTGAAGGGTATTTTCCTTCTTCTTTTCCACCCCTCTTTTGATTCCGCATTGACAAGAATACGAGTATTTTGGTTTTTCATTTGAAATGTTCAGAATGGAACGTCTTAGTAAAGTGATATATGCAAGCACAGGATCAAATTTTCCGTGTAAACATGGTCTGGGTGTTCGTGTTGGAAACCCTGCCTTAGGAGTCAGTAAGTTATTGTGATCCTGAAATCATGCATCTAACTGGGGGATTTGTAATTAACATCACGCATTCTTATTTAAACGTTTCAATGCAAAATTAAGTAAAGCCAAATTTCTCAAGCCCATAATTCAGGAGGCTAATATTTGTCTTAAAATTTATGTTGCAATGCTGTATTAATTAACATTAACATGGTGGGAATCTTTCGAGCTTTGCGGTGCAAAAATGATCAGATAACTTCCATTCTCCTGCCTTGGATGGGTGGAGTTTTGCTGCTTTGATCACAGAAATTTGAATTTAGGGAGGGACTACTTAAGTTTATTTTACTTGTTTTGGTTCGTTTTAATTTGTTCCAGTAATTGTTGCTCCATGTATTTTCTTATATCCTGATAACAGCTGACAATTTCAATATGTAATGGCAGAATTTTCAATTATTGATCATTGACCACTTAAGTTGAATCGGCAATGGATTGAAATGTTGATTCTTGTTATGAAGTCATACATTCTGTAACTTGAATTCTGTACCTAACAAGAGGTTCCTAGAATTTTCTTCTCAGTGGTATCTCTTTCGATTTCAGGTGTCGTCTCAAATCACCATGGTCGCGCAGAAAAAGAAAAAATGCACTTTCATCTCGACAATGGAGAACTGTGTTTAATCCAGATGGGAAACTCCGGGATGGTGGAATTAAGTTCGTAAAAAAAGTTCGCAGTGGAGTAAGTCAACATTATGTTCGACTATCTTATGAAAAATATTACGTTTGTCTGTTTATTGCTCTTCTCAGCTCGAGTATGTTATCTCAATTCCTTAGTTCCTGTTGTTGAATTAAAATATTAATGCAATTTTTGATTTAGGGTGTTGATCCAAGTATTCGGGCAGAGGTTTGGCCTTTCCTTCTTGGAGTGTAAGTACCACTCACCTTTGCGTCTTGTCTATTACCTCCATTATAAATGGCCTATATGTTTGAAGTAGAGCTGTTCTACTCTCTCGTGCATGTATTGCCTGTTCTAAAGTTATTTATTTCATGGACAGTATCTTCAATACAATCAAAATTGTTAAATTATTTGTTCTTTTACTTATTATTAAATTTTATCAGTTTGTTTCTAGGAATTAGAATATATCTTACACTGGTCAAGTATCTTGTACAACTCCAGCCATTTCCATTGGTAAATGTCAATGAATCTTAATTAGATGACCTGATCAAGCAAGGTCAAGTATCTTACTCAATTTAAGAGAGATCCATCAATCATGGTCAATGTTTTAAAAGGCTAAAAGTTAGAAAAGGCATAAGCCTCGAGGCAGCATGAGAAGTAAGTCTCAATTAAAAAATATATATATCGAAAAATTATAAAATTGTGTAATCAAGTATTAATATACACAATTGTACAAAAAAAAAGGTCTTAATAAACACAATCATATGAAAGTACCAAAAAGAAACCATTTCAATCTTTTTTTTGAAAGGATAAAAAGAAATAATGTCTATCAATTCTCACTTAAATAAATAAAGATTCTAAAAGGTAATTCTAAACTTTATTATCATCACAAATTTTTCTTAGATGGACTATTTTCAGATATTTCATAAATCATACCATCAATAAAATATTTGATTCCTATTTTAAAACATCACTAGGTTTTCTTTAATTTTTTTTTTACTTCAGTGTCCTCCAAAACCTTAGCTGTGAAAGTAATAATGCACCAACTTACCACAGCTCATGATATAATAGCAGCACACAAATAATAGCGGACTTGAACATAGTTCAATTGGTGAAGGTACTACTACTTACCTCCTTAAAGGTTAGAGGTTCAAAGCCCCACCTCTTATTGAACTTTGAAAAAGGAAGAAGAATAGAAAACGAGTAGTAAAACTTGGCTACTCTTCCGACCATTGTATGAGGCATAAAGAATCTGAACATTTGTGTGCTGTGATTGGAAGCGCTAATCTCTTCTATAAGAGGAGCCTCTTATGATTCAAAGAAGGCATAAGTCTAGAAGTTTGAGCCTTGATGACATATATTGTTTGAAATCATTATTAAAAATTTTAAATATATGAATATTTTTAAATGATGTGTCATTGTCCTGTTCGTTTCCTAAGTTTTTTGTAGAATGACATGTTAGATGAGTCATTAATTAATAATTGGAGTTGAGGTGTCTGATCCCATACTGTAGGGAATACCTTTTCCTTGCATCACAAACACAAACATATGCACAAAGAAAGAGAAAGTTGTATCTTTACAGTTTGCTTCTAAATGTCTTGTTAATTATTTGTTGCACGCCTGAACTTGGAGGTATGTGGAATATTTGACAAGAATTAGAAAGCCCTTATCATTGCGTTTAGTATCTAATTTCATTACATTATTTGATTTAAATTGCCCGATTCAGCTGTTTGGTGAGTGTTGGGTACTACTGGGTAGTGATTAGATGGTCAATGAGAAAGACAATGTATTATTGAAGGAGGGGAAGTTAGGCCCTTGTAAATATCGGTCCAAAACTTTAGCAAAATGTAACTGGGATATCATTCCAAGTGATTTGCTCAACCAGCTTAGCACTTCTTCAGGGATAAATTGCGGTTTATGTGCTGCTTTAGTTATATTGATATTTGTGTGACTGCTTTAGTTATATTGGTATTTTTATGAACTCTGTTGAACAATGCATTATTTAGGCCTTAAATTGATCTACGTCTATATTGCTTTAAAGCTCCGTATTACTGTGGTGCTCTAAATACTAGAAACGCAGATTTTCTACTTTACATGCATTGATTTTATTTGACTGACCCTATAACTTTTAACAGCTATGACCTCAAGAGTTCTAAAGAGGAAAGGGATATTATAAAGACTCAAAAAAGGTGCTTAGTATATCTTTTTAAATATTTTTTATTTAGTATTTATGCTGGATTCTTTATGCATTACTTTAGGTTGTTGCAAGATGTCTCTCTCTCTTCAGTGACATCCATCTATGAGGATTTTATTTTACAATTATAATGTTTTTGGTGCAGAAAGGAATATGAAAAACTCCGTAAACAGTGCAGGCGATTGATAAAACGTAGGAATGAAAGCTCTAAATGGAATGAATTTGGGGACATGATTGTCGGGGAAGATGGCTTTCTTGTGCGAGACATAGATTCTCCTAGTTCTGAAGATGTGGTTAGTGCTAGAGAGTCTCTTTCGAGTGAAGAAAGGTGCTCAAATGTTGAATTTTTGGATGAACCCTTCTGCTCTTTGTTGGAAGGGGAGGGGAGTTCAAGACAGATCGCAGCTGATGGTTCTTTGGTACTGAATTCGGACTCCTCTGACTCAGACTCCTCAGACGACTTGGATGTTAGTCAGACTTTTCCCCCCACAGATGGAATGGAAGAACCTTATCTTGATATGACGCCTAAGGAAAATTCTTCTCCCCCTAGGACTGAGGTCTCATCAAAGCTCCATAATAGTGAAGACTTTGCAACATGGCAGCGGATTATCCGACTTGATGCACTTCGTTCTAACTCAGAATGGGTACCATACTTGACATCTCAAGCAATGGTTTCGGATGGCAGAGCCCGGCGGTCTGCTGAGGCTGTTGGTTTAGTTGATTATGACCATCTAGAACCTTGTATGATCTTCCATGCTGCAAGACTAGTTGCAATTCTTGAAGCATATGCTCTTTATGACCCTGAAATTGGTTATTGTCAAGGCATGAGCGATCTACTCTCTCCTATCATTACTGTAATTGCTGAGGATCATGAGGCATTCTGGTGTTTTGTTGGCTTTATGCGCAAGGCTCGCCACAATTTTAGGCTCGATGAGGTTGGAATTAGAAGGCAGTTAAACATAGTCGCTAAGATTATTAGGTGCAAGGACTCGCACCTTTACAAGCACCTGGAGAAACTTCAGGCTGAGGATTGCTTTTTCGTATACCGGATGGTTGTGGTGCTATTCAGAAGGGAATTGACTTTTGAACAGACGTTATGTCTTTGGGAAGTCATATGGGCAGATCAGGCAGCCATAAGGGCTGGAATAGGGAAGTCTGCATGGAGCCGAATAAGGCAACGAGCTCCGCCAACAGATGATTTATTGCTTTATGCGATTGCTGCTTCGGTATTGCAGAGAAGGAAACTGATCATAGAGAAGTATAGTAGCATGGATGAAATTCTGAGGGAATGTAACAGCATGGCTGGACACCTTGATGTGTGGAAGCTTCTGGATGGTGCGCACAATTTGGTGGTAACCTTACACGACAAGATAGAGACGTCCTTCCAGTAACTGGAGGGTCCATACCAATTTCAGTTCAGTTCTCACTAACTTCTTGGTGCTGTACTCTTGGCTGTTGGGGTCCTAAAAAGGTGCAACTTTGGCCATTTCGTTATGCTGTTGAGTGGTTGTAGCTTACAATGAAAAGCTCCTTAAAGTTTATTTATAATGCTGTTTAGGAGCAGCTTACTGTGAAAGCTCTCAAGTTATGGGACAGTAGCCGAATCAAACGTATGGGACAGTAGCCGAATCAAACGATTCTCATAAACGTCTGTTTTCGTACGCTTTGCTTTGTGGTATAAGTTATGAACTTCTGACCTGCTTGTCTCACTGATTCACTATTCATAAATGTATCATTTTGGACAGTTACAGCTCCCAGTCTGTGGCATCTTTTACTAGGTTTAATCCCACTAATTCTTACGTTAAAAGGTCAGCATGAAAATCGTCTTTGTTTAGTACAAATATTCGTCTGCATCAAACTGAAAAGAGGAGAAATTTCAACTTTAGATTTGTGATAATTCCATAATTCTGAAAAAACTCAGAGACAGTTGATGCTCTCTGATGAACTGAACACCTTCCAAGATGCAGTATAGAAAAGGCAGGCAAAATGAGCCAACTAATTATTAATTATTAAGTTGAATACTGTTTACACAGTCAGAAAAGAAGAAATAAATATTTGATAATGCAGACAGACTCTGATCTAAGACTAAACCCACATGAAAACACAAACCAAGAGAGTAAAAACTAAAGAAAAGTCCTTTCTAAACAAACATAATTGCTTTCGCTTTGCTGCGAATAAGCAGTTTATTACCCTCCAAAGGGTTTATCATTCTGTTCGTTCATTCATTCTTGGTGTAGTGTCGAACGGCAAATGCCAATCCCAAAATGAATATGGGAACCAGAATCTGCAATATCTTAATCACAAATTCGGGTGTCTTGTCTGAGTTGTACTGGGTTTGCTGCGCTGGAATGTACATCCTCTTCAAAGGAACTGTCGAAGGATCAATTTCTCCTATGTAATATTTGTCCATCATTTCTCTTGCTGAATCGCTGTGCCCAACATCTTCGAAATCGTTTGTCGCATCTTTTCCTGCAAATGTTCGGAAACTGTTATATCATTTGCAAGTGTTTCCTATAATGGAACCCTGAGGCTTACGGCTTACAGCTTACCAGTTGCGGACAATAATACTTCATCGCCTCCGGGATGATCCTCCATGAAAGGAGTTACATCATAAACCTGAGGCCATGGCCACAAGATCAAACACGAGATGAGACAAGATATTCTAACTTTTGCACATACACAAGATAAATTACTAATGATACACAAAAAGCTTAACTCTGAATGAGCCTCTGGTCCCCTCCTAAGCCATCCAATGCTGAGAGCATCATTTCTCAGTAGCCATGTGCATTCTAAAAGCCAGATACATAGTCCCTGAACTAAACCTAGGGAACAACAGCCACCAAACCCTAAACTAGGTACCTAACCACCCCTGATTTAGCACTTGATTTAACAGGCATTTATATTTACAAGTTGCTTTCTTTACTCTTGAGTCAATCCATGGTCATTGGGGCTCAAAATACCTTAGCAAGAGCAGTTCATATGATGTCTTTAAAAGGTTCCTCCAAAAGGGATTTAAACCCATGACCCACTAGGTAAGGTTGAACATGAGTTTTCATCACCATGCTCAACCCTTGGGATTCATTTGTAAGCAACTTATAACAAGCAATTCAATGAAGTTGTGTTTCTTAATGGGGGGAAAACATTTGTCTGAAACCTCATGGTGAAGAGAGAAGTTTAGGACACTTCAAGTTTCAACCAACAAGATCAAAGAGGGACGTGATTATGTATTTAAACACAATGTGGCCTTCATACAATACATAAACATCGTAACTGCTGTATTACCTTCTTCCCAGTTCCCATTTTGAGATGAATATGGAATAGTAAAATTAAGACACTGTAGATAAGTAACATTTCACGCGATTCAATCATACAACACAAACAATTCCCGAAATACCCAAATATTTAAAGCCAAGACCAATTTCCCCTCTCTAATTATTGAAGAACTAAACAAAACAGATAAAGAAGAGATATCCCCTTTTTTTGTGTGTGTGGAAAAAAGATTGGTACACATAGAATCTCGTATATGATTCCAAACAATGAAGAAAAGGAAAGATGATATTGAAATTGAGAATCTACAGTGAAACCCCCAAAGTGAAGGCATCTAATATCAAACTCTTTCGGGCGGATATTCGATGAGAATCCAGAGTTAGCAAGAGCTGTTCGTTTTCCTTTGCCGAAAACATTAGCCATAGGGTTTTGCAGCCAACCACACAATGAAAAACCCCAGACAATAAGACCAGAAACCAGTCTTCTGTGCTAAATAAAATGCTATGAAAAATCAAGTAAGAGAGATCTGACCTTCCCAGAAATTACAAGC